ATTTGAACAATTGTCCAATTATTTCTCAAAAGAATGAAACAAAGCCAGGAAAATAGAAATAGTAAAAGGGATAAGTAGGGGGAAAATCCTAAACAGTAGGTACAAATCCTACTTATGTGAATAAAACATTTTCCAAAAGACTTAAAAAGCACTGATGGTTAAAACTGATAAAAATCAAGAGAAATCTGTATGTTGTCTACCATAGAAACATTATAAAGGCACAGATTGAAGGTAAAAAGAAAAAGATAGGTCAAAGCGTAAGCATAAGGAAGTTGGTGCTGATATTGCAATATGCGTCAAAGTAGACTTTAAGACAAGTACATCTAAGGAGACATACCAAATCAGGGAAATTTGTCAAGAAGTCATGATACAAAAAGGAGGAAAAACAAAAGTATCACACTTCCAGAATTCAAACTATACTACAAAGTTATAGTAATCAAACTAGTATGATATTGGGATAAAAATGGACACACAGACCAATGGAACAGAACTGATACACTATTGTAAACCAACATCACCTTGTTTTTATTTTTAATGAAGTGATATTATGAAAGCATGAAAACTGAAAGATCTTCAAATACCTAAAAAGCAATGAGAGACCTAAAAGGGAAAGATAAAATTGCAATTGTGGGCAGAAAAAAATAAATAAACAATTCTCTCAGTAACTGGCAAAGTAAAAAACAAAACAAAACAAAACAAAAAACACACCACTAACGACATAAAAAACATCTAAATTCTAAATAAACACCTTTAATTATTAGCATTTGTAGATCATTATGCTCAGTCAGTGACTGCCAAACACATATTAATGTGTGTATCATCAAGATAAATAAAATGGTAGTCTCAATTAATTGGAAAAGTTGATATATTACATTTTTTTACCATAATAATTAAAATGTCAGTAAGGTTATCTGGAAAGACTCCAAATATTAGGAAATTAAATAATCTGCTTAAAAAATCACAGTTGGGAATAATTCACAAGGAAAATTTCTGAATTAAGTGCTAATTGAAACAATATATTAAAGTGTGTGGGATCCATTAGTGTAATGCTTATAGTCTTAAACATACATTAGTTTTGAACCCATACTACCTTATTTCAAGACTTAATATGTCTTCACTTAACAAGAATGGCATAAAAAGGAAAAACAATTCACTTTCAGCAAAAAGATCAAATAATTCAATAAAAACTATACATTAAGTGGGAAAGGCAAACTATGACAGTAGTTTGTTATCAATCATGTACCAAGGAAGGAATGTGATGAAATATACATGTATTTGCTCACTTGGGAACAAATTTTCTATTATGAGAAACAGAAAAGGTAAGTGAGCACTGTGAGATCAGTTATACACAGTTTCTATATGACAATAGGATGAGAAGAGAGGAGGAATGGAATTACTACCGTGCAGCAGACAGATGGTTTTCACAAATTTAATTCTTAGAACCCTAGTAATGTTTCACATAGGAAAAAGTTCATAGTCAAATCAAATTGAATTAAAAGAGTGAGAAAAGTAACTGATTTTATGATTAGGATATGTAGTAGCTTGGAGGGGAAAATAGCCAGCCTAAGCAAGTTTGCAAAACATTATGTTAACTGGGTACAATAGGGCAAAGAAAAAAAGAATATTTAAGTATTTTATTTGAGTCAGTAATTTTTTTAAAAAGTGGTACAGTTTAGCAATTCTAAAACTAACTGATGTCTATTGGGTTTATATAAGAAATAAGAAACCATATTGTGTATAGAAAGGTAGGTTTATTGTGGAGAAAGAAATTATAAATATGGAAAAGGGGAGATTAAAATAAAGCCAGTGATATTGGGCTGTAATCAGAAACATCAGTGTGGATACACACACACAGAGCTAGAGAGAAATAATTTAGATATATGCATACATGTGAGAGGACAAATATCTATTTTCCAACTCTGAACCAGTAGGGCCTTGACAAAATGAATCCCAATAGCAATGAGTATATGTTAACACTCAGGTCTTGGTTACTAAGTATTATTTTCAAATGCAAGGAACAAGAACTCCTTGAAGGAATGATTGATTGCATGTATAGAGGTGAAAAATACAAAATAAGCCAAGTATACCTTGGTGAATCACATGTCAAGAAGTGCTAAGAAAAATTAAGTGGGCTTGTGAAAAGAACAGAGAGCTCAGATTGAAAGAGCTCCTGATGGTCAATTCTGGAAAAGTTTTAGAAATAAAAATAGCTATTGCAATATACGTAAGTCTATATAATAAAAATAAATACCAATATATCCATACTGATGTCAAACAACTGAACACACACATAAATGGGGGAGGCACCCTTCTTTAGAGTCAAATTTTAATGAGGAAGTGAAGAAAGCATCATAGAAGCAGGAAACCATCATCAGACAAACTTCATGGCCGTAACTGCTCTAGGCAAGTGCATCGATGGGCACTATGAAGTGAAGTATTGAGGAAGAGGATATGTGTGTGACTTCACTGGAACCCTTCACAAAATTATTAATTACAAAGAGAAAAATGACAGCTTTGAAATAGAGAAAGCTGGCATCCACCACCTTAATCAAGGTAATATTTAACACCAGCAGAAATAAGACATAATGACCTAAGCTAGCCTGATACACCCCACCAAAAACACACATAACTGTCACTGTTATTCTGCCTAAAAGCGCCTAACTTTCAATCTAATCATGACAAAATGCTAGACCAATTCATACTGAGAAATATACAAAATTGGTCTAGTATTACTTAAACATGTCAAGGTATGAGTTTAAAAAAAAGAGAGGGACTTTCAAAGATGGAGGGCAGGTCCCTCCCAAACAAGAGGCTGACAAATCAAGGCTAATCTCCAGATACCAATAAATGTTACATGTATTAACAGTGTAACAACAGTTCTATTACATACTAATACTAGTAAGGCAGTGTAAGGAATAAATAGGAAGTCTCAATACTACTGGAAATTTCCTTCAAGTCCAGAATTATTTGAAAATAATAAGTAAAATTTGAAAAGTTTTAAACAAATTTTACTACAGAAGATTAATGACTGAGCTAGCCTCATGAAAACAATTTATCTCCTGAAATGACTAACCTATATGACTAACCTAAACATTAAAATGAGAAGATGCCATTTCACAAGCACTTTAACTGATAATCTCTTTTATTATTGGTTGAGTATGAAAAGCTTCCCTCCTGTCAGAACTCCTGCAGTTTCTTAAAAGTTAGGCAAATTCTACATTGTAATCAAGTAAATTTCATCTGCTAATATGTTCAAAATAGCTTAAAACTGGAAATGCCCTAGATAACCCTCAAAAGGAGAATGAGTAGACATTTAATGCTATGCTTCTCAGCAACTAAAATGAAAAATTTTTAAACCTACTGATACAGGGAATAACATGGATGAAACTCAATAAATAATATGATGACCAAAGAAGCAAGAAATATTGTGTGGTTACATTTATATTAATTTCAAGAAAAGGCAAAACTAATTTAACAATGATAGAAATTAGAATATTAGATGTGAATTAAGTTTGGCTGGAAGGAGGCAGTATACGAAGCTTCTCATGTAAGAAAAATATTGTTTCCTAAATAACTAACAAAATTGATTAAATTATACAAGTAAGATCTATGCATTTAACTATGTCTATTCCAAATATGTAAATACAAATATTAAAATAATGTTTCAAAGACTGATATGAAATAACTTACTAGACAATTTTTTAAATTATACATTATGTAAATATGTATGTTACAGAACAGTATAAAAGTTATTTGTATATAGACACACACACACATTTCAGGATGTGTGTGTGTTTGTTAAAAGAAAACAAGAAACTGTAACACTTGCATCCAGGAAGGGAAACTGATAGTGATGGAGAACAGAATTAAGGTGAATTACCTTTTGTTGAGTGCCTTTTACCCTGGAAACCTCGAAACATACATTACACTTAAAAAATTAAAATATTAAAACTTTTCTGGGGAGAAGAATTATCACTATTTCCCTAACTTATTAGAAAATATTTATAGGTCCTCCCTGGTGGTGCAACAGCACTAGGAGGCTGCCACAGCCACTGCATCATGAGTTCAATCCCCGGCCAGGGAGCTGACCCACAGGGCTCAGCAGACCTCTCCTGGCCTGCCTGCTGCTCCCCTCAGCAGTGTATTTCAGTACATCTGTCTGTTCTGCTCCCCACTCTGTCTCTTACCCCCTGCACCTCTGGCCTGTGCCCCAGTTCTGTATGAATAAATAAATCTGTGCAAATGACATTAATTGAATATGACAAAATGTTGATGATGGCGGAATTCAGATTCCTAGTATCTGCAATTTTACTATACTTTCCTCCTCAGAGTTTGCATATTTATAATATGTTCATGATAAAAGTTTTATAAAACTCAGAGCAGAGTGAATATTTAATTATCAAAAACAAGTTATTATTAGGAATTTATTAGAAAAGACACAAAGGCATACATGAAAATATAGAAATAAACTATAATACTGAAAAAAATATATATATATACACCACAGAACTAATTGAGGAGGAGGGGGAAGGAGTACAAGTGATCCTAAAAATTCAATTTATTTCATCAAGAAAAGGCATAGCCTTAATTCCACTCCAAAGCATGAAAAACAAAGGAGAGTTCAGATGATTGAATTGGTGTGTTTGCTTAATCATTGACATTAATGCTAGATCCTGTCAAACCTTTGAATAGCATAGAGAACAAAAAAAAAAAAAAATCTCAAAATTGGGCCCTCCCTGGTGGCACAGCAGGTTAAAGCACAGCACTGAGAAGTTAAAGCCACTGAAGCATCAGTTTGATGCCTGCCCTGGAGGTGACCCACATGGCTCAGCAGACTCTCCTCACCCACCCGCTGCTCCCCTCAGCAGTGTACTTAGTCAGTCGGCCTGTTCTGCTCCCCTTTCTGTCTCTGGTGAATCCTCTCACCACTCCTGCACCTCTGGCCTGTACCCTAGTGCTGTATGCATAAATAAATAATCTTTTAAAAAAATCTCAAAATTATTTTAACATGACCAGGAAACTCATATCAAAACATGATAAAAATAGAAAAAAAATTACAAATTAAGCTCATTTAGTACTAAGCTTGAAAAAAATTCCAAATCAAATGAGATACTCATATTTCTATAGTAGATATAAAACACTTTAAGCAGGTGGAGCTTGTTCATTCAAGAAAAAAAAAGAAAACCTCAATAATAGAAAATAGATTATTTCACAATGATAAAGGTATAATTAAGAAATACAATTATTTATGCAAAAATAATTGATTATCTCTACCACCTAACTTTGATGAAAATTCCTTAGAAAAATATAAAATTTAGGAGATTTTCCTAACATGATGCATAAAAATCTGTCCAATTTAAAATTAGCACCTTATATTGATGCTTGAGACCACCCACATCAAAATAACTTACTAGAACTGAGACTTGGAAACTACCCTGCAGAGTCCAATCTAAGAAGATAAAACTATTGCACAACTTGCTCATCTACACAAATAGCTCTCATATGATTGATAACATCTTACATAGGCGAAACAGCTTATTATCAGGCAATTTTCTGGACTCAAGTCAAGACCCTCACCTAACTCTCTCACCTACTGCTAAACCTACCAGTCCTGAACCAAAAGTCCTTTTCACCTGTCTTTGAAACACTACTTAGTTTTGCCAAAGTGATGTTTTCCCTTGCTCTTAAAGGTATAAAGAACTCAGTTTCCTTGATCATATCTCCTTCTGGGAGTCTTTTTGGATACCAGATTAGCCAAACCAAAGAAACATTGTCTTAAAACCCAAATCAAGGGAAGCGATATTTCCACAATCACATAAGTGTTCCACAAGTACCAGTCAGTAACCTTCTCAACATAACTAAAATCCAGATCATTAAAAAGGGAGCATACAAGCTATCAATATTTGCAAAGAATTTAGTACATATTTGAAACAATCTGAAAAGTCATGACAAAGAGTAAAGTGATCACTTATCCCCCAAAATAAAACTGACTTTCAGAAACAGTAAATTATCATGAAAATAAGCTGACAGAAAATATACCCATTGCATAGTGAAAATATCAGCCATTAGTAAGTTATTGAATAAAAGAAAGACATACCTTGTCCTTGGATAGGAAGAGTTACATTATTAAGAACCAATTTTCCCCCATATTAATTTATTAAAGTTGAGGAAATTGCAGTCTAAACTGTAATTTCTTCCAATGAGAAGACACATGAGACAGGAGGCAGAAGAAGAGACACACAGATCCACAGAACAAAAATGGAGCCAGTCACAGATGAGAATACAGCATATGTGCAAGATGGCATTACAGATAAATGCGCAATTATTGGCAAATAATCGCAAATAATGGCAAATAACTTGGCAATTTTAAGATTTCAAATAAAAAAAATTTCTCATGATTTTACGAATTTGAATTAAAAACCACAAAATAATTAGAAGTTAACATAGGTGAAGAGTTTTATGGAATCAGTATAAATATCTTTTCAAAATGACATGAAACTCAGAAGCCATAGAAGCAGACATGGTTATACTTGGACATATAACAATCATACACATTCTTGTAATAAAAACAAAGTTTAGAGTGTGTAAAAATATCTGTAATGCTTGACAATCCAAAGCTCATTCCCCCAATAACAAATGAGTTCAGGAAAAGACTAAATCCTCCCCCACCCCCAAAATTGGACATAAAGAAGAAATTAAAAAAATACAGATGACTAATAAACATGGAGAAAATGATTAAACTAAAAAACAAAAGAAATACAGTTTAAGACAATAGTTTGGGCTATAACATTTGCAAAGATTTTAAGTTTTTATAAAATCCATTATTTGTAAAGTTGTGGGAGATGGCAATCTCATTCATTGCCATTTGCGGGTAAAGTTGTTACCACATTTTAAAGGAAATCTTGTAATAATTTTCAAAATTTGAAAAATGTTTATCTCCTTAATCCCAGTACTTCAACTGCTAAGAAATTTATTATGATATAGTAGACAATTGCAAAATTATTGCTATATAGGGAGGCTCATTGCACAGAAATTTGGTGCTAACATAAATATCTTTGAATGAGAAATGCTTAAGACCTGAATTTCATTATATCTACAAAACAATCATGCAGTCATTCAACAAATGACAAAGGTGTGTACTATTGAAATAGAAAAGGGCATTGAAAAACTGTTAAATAAAAGGCAATTTGCAGAAGAATGTGTAGAGAACCCCCCAAAATTAACTGCACGTGCGTTTGTGTGCATCTATCCACTTACAAAATGCACACAATTCCCTAAATAGAGGAAAACTCTGGGGGACAGAATTGAGAAAGAAGAGGGCACTTAATTTATGTTAGATATTTTTATATGCTTTGAATTTTGGGGAAAAAAACATGCAAGTTCTTTTAAATATATCTTATGTTTTAAATTTACCACATGGCATGAAAATTATAAATGTATATTTATGGGAGCACTGAGCAATTCCATCATTTTGAGTTTCTTGTGCAATAAATTTCCTCTACTGAGGCTCCTGGGATTGAATCAAGTGGCAGAAGGGAAACAGTCACCATGCCCAAATTAAAGTCTCAGCGATGACATCCCAACATGAGCATTTCTCAGTTACGCATTTCTTATCTGCAGGAGGTGTCCACTGCAACGCAGGAAGGGGAGGGTCTCCGTGCATAAGGATGACTGTATCATTGTTTTGGTGAAGTTGGTGGCAGAAGTAACAAATCCACCGCACTGTTAAGAGTCATCACCTGCAAGAACACAGTGGGGGAAAGTGACAAAGGTGAATACATTTCCTGTGTAGCCTGTCAGAGGGCTATGAAAACTTTGAGCACTCTTCTGTAACATGTGCTAAAACAAAGTTACCCAGAGGACACAAGTCACAACTTTGAAAGCTGGCTCTATACTTTCGCGTTTGCTGGGCTAAACAGCTGGGCATCTCCAACTAGCTGCTATTCATTTTTTTTAAGATTTATTTATTTATTCATACAAAGTTGGGGTACAGGCCAGAGGCACAGGGATTTACCAGAGACAAAATGGGGAACAGAACAGGCACACGGACGAAGAACACTGCTGAGTGGAGCAGCAGGAAGTTCAGAGGAGGTCTACTGTGCCATGTGGATCACTTCTGGGGCAGGGATCGAACTTGCACTGAGGCGGCAGCAGATAGATGGCAGTGCTGCATCCTAACCTGTTGCACCACCATGGAGGGCCCATAGCTGCTATTTTTAACCTGACTTTGTCCCTGTGTTTGGTTCTTTAAAGTTCTAGTTCATTCGATCATTGAGAATCTACTGTATCTCATGTACATAACGATTTGCCAGTAGCACAATGATCTCATCAAGGACCTCAGCTTGGTAATTAAAGAAAAAACCTTCACATTAACAGCAAATACACTGTGATATAAAAAACTAAGGAAAAGCTATACTGTTTAACTTACTATGTAATCTGAGTTTTGGGGTCAATTTAGAATATAACCAAATGCCACCAATCTGCAGAAAACATCTTATTTTATTAACATCTTATTTTCTAGCTAGCCATGGTTTCTCCAATAAAGCAAGACTATCTCAATAAAAAACTTACCTTCAGAGGATGGCCCTTTGCCAATAAGTAGGTGAACAGGCTCGTTGTCTGGAGATTCTTGTTTCAGAGAGTAATTGGTATCATTCACTCCCAAAACAGTGCCTGAGAAATCATCTGAGGAAGAGAAAATACAATGAGAAATACCACTGCCAGCGAAAAAGATAACTCAGCAGGGAGCTGGAAAGTCACCCTGGCATTCGAACACAGATTCCATTTGGAAGTGGTACCTTGCTCTGTTACACAGTTCCAAAGCTCTACTAGGTGCTCTGTAACGACTTACATTTCAGTGTCGGCACATTACATCAGAGCCCTTTGCTCTTGGACTTTTTCAAAACCTATGGGCTTTAAATAATGTCTCTTATTTAAATAATGTCTCTTAAAGTCTGTTTAGTTGGCTAGGTTATTTGTGGAATTGTCTAAAACAATCTATTGACATACCCATTCTCAAGAAAGTTTATTGAGAACCTGCTTTATACCAGATAATCCATCAGGTGCTCATGTCACCAAAAACAAACTCAAAATGTCAAGCCATAAGAAATGAAAAGCCTCTTTGATGAATCTATGAAACAAATAAAGCGCTGAAGAGTAAGTCAGCAAATGGCCTTATTGAGAGTTTCAGGCTACCCGAGATTGTTGAGGAAAGATCGCCCATTTGAAAAGGCCTATGGGACCACTACTGTAACTCCCAATCACCATGCTCCTCTCATATGATGCCTGGGTAGGTTTCAGCTGCTAATTAGCTGCAACAAATACTTTCAAGCTGAAGGAAAGCAGAGATTGATCAATTCCTGTACCTCCTGGGCCCTGTTCTGACAAATCTGCATTTCCCCATTCCTTTAGTCATCCAAAGGGCGTCCAAAGGCCAGACGCAGGAACAGAGAGCCAAAGCTTGTCAGCACAAGCTTTGGAGCTGACATTTAAGAAGGAAGACAGAGGTGCAGACACATTCCGTTCCCTTCTAGGTTCTGGCATCACCTGAAAGGAAGGAAAAAAAAATCTTTTAAGAAAAAAAAATATGCAGAAATATCAGCAGCTATATGTAGATAAAAACTAAATATAGACAATACACATACCCATGTAATCTCTTTAGCAATCAAACATTTAAATAGTATTCTAAGTATTTCTCCAAACAGTAATTTAGTGAAAGAGCACATTTATGTGCAATAAGTCAGAAGAACCATATTTTAACTAAAAGATATCCATAAATACAATACTTCCATTTATGACTTTGAAGAATCCATTTACAATGACCATTTTTCAATTTTGATATAACCACAGAGGAATTAAGACAAAAAAATAAGAACATATTTGCAATCCATGTTCAGAGTATTCTCAGAGAACGATGTTAACAAATGGCTTACAGGTAATTTATTGATCTTATCTTTGCTGATTATCCAATGCACAAATGAAAAACTATATCTTAAAGAGATGTTTAAAACTCTCTAAAATCATCTGCAGAACCCATAATGCTTTAATCAAATGCATTTTACAGGTTTTCTTCTATTATCATGTCAAATATTAAAATATCTTAAAAGATTGATATAAAGGTGTTAAATTTGAACTTTTACATTAAAGAAGTTAATAAAATATAGAGCTGTTAAAATATGCACTTTTCGGCCCTCCCTGGTGGCGCAGCGGGTTAAAGCACAGGACTCAGAAACCAAAAAGCTACTACAGCATGAGTTCAATCCCTGCCTGCCCTGGAGGTGACCACATGGCATGGCAGACCTCCCCTGACCCGCCCGCCGCTCCCCTCAGCAGTGTACTTCGTTGATCTGCCTGTTCTGCTCCCCACTGTCTCTGGTGAAGCCTCTCACCACCCCTGCACCTCTGACCTATACCCCACTTCTGTATGCATAAATAAATAAATCTTTAAAAAAGAATATGCACTTTTCCTCTGAATATAAACATACCAATACAAGGTCATTGTCTTTATTTCATTTTCTTACTCCCTGACAAGTCAATAAATATAGAAATATGAAATATAATGTGGTAGTTTACAATACAATTTTCAAACAATTTCTCCCAAACTTTTGTAACTAAGATATCAACATGATATTTACAATATATTACATCACTAGTCATATATTGGCATCCATGTAATATCTCTAGATAAATCAAACAGAACTTTGATTGCTGCTGATCAAAGGTCTGCTGAACATGATATATCTATATCTATACATCATGATATATATATCACTTCCTGATTCCCAATACAATAAATGTAGACCTGAAAATTGTACTAGAGAATATATATATGTGGACATTGAATTTTGGTGATTTATATTTCTAACATTGCTACATGATCAATGCAAAGGTTTGTCAATTTATTAATCTTTGGTCACCCTTTTATTCTATTTCTTGTGATATATTGGGTTTTACTGTCCAATTTAGTATTTTTTTAAATTTAAGTTAGTTACTTGATATCTTTCCTCCAATCTGTGATAGTCACTTAAAGCCACAACTATCTCTCTAAGCATGTCTTTATTTAATTCAATTCTGAATGTTTTCCAATTTCTATTATGATTTTTTTGTCTAATACACGAGTTGTGTAAAGAATGTGAACTTATAATGTTTAGAAATTTCTCAGATTTACTTATTTTATTTCTAATTAAAATGTCCTGTGGTCATAGGATATAGTCTATAATTATTTCAGTCTTTTAGAATTTTAACCTTTCTTTAAATACACAAAAAACCATTGATGAAATATAGTCCCAGAAAATTCCAAGAACTGGAAATTTAATTTTTTTATGTTTTAAAGTTACAATTTTAAAGATATACTTTAGTTGATCAAATATCTAGAAAATTACTACTTGAGCACACATCCATATGTCTACATTGTATAGATAGGAGAGCTAATTGCATGCCTACTCTAATTTATATTCTTTTAGCATGATTCTGGTTATTCAAACCAGAGAAAGCATACATTTTTAAAATAATGCAGGAAAGTTACAAAATTTTAAAATCTAAGTCTTAGATATCACAACAGATGATTATTATATAACATTGGCTATGACACAGTATATGAATTAGAGTCAAGAGATTATTATGCTAAAGATATTGTAATATTATTTGTATTATCCAATTTCAACTCAAATTTTTTTTTAAAGATTTATTTATTCGTACAGAACTGGGGTACAGGCCAGAGATGCGGAGGGTGAGAGGACTCACCAGAGACAGAGTAAGGTACAGAACAGTCAGATCTATGAAGAGTACACTGCTGAGGGGAGCAGCGGGCGGGCCAGGAGAGGTCTGCCGCGCCATGTGGTCACCTCCAGGCAGGTGGGGATCGAACTCATGTGGAAGTGGCTTTTGATTCTTAGTGCTGCGCTTTAACCCGCTGCGCCACCAGGGAGGGCCTCAATCAAATTTTTAATAAATAAAAATAAATTTAGGCCCTCCCTGGTAGCGCAGTGGGTTAAAGTACAGCACTGAGAATCTAAAGCCGCTTCCACATGAGTTCGATCCCCGCCTGCCCCGGAGGTGACCACATGGTGTGGCAGACCTCTCCTGACCCGCCCGCTGCTCCCCTCAGCAGTGTACTTCGTCGATCTGCCTGTTCTATTTCCCGCTTTGTCTCTGGTGAAGCCTCTCACCGCCCCTGAGCCTCTGGCCTGCACCCCAGTTCTGTATGCACAAATAAATAAATCTTAAAAATAAATAAATAAATACATTTACTAGAAATCAAAATCATCAGAAACTGGATGTTACCTCATAAATGTATTCCTTCATTCATTCCCAGATAAGGCAGCTGGAACAACTGAAAAAGTCAGAACTTCATTGGTATAGTGGTAAGACCCCTCAGAATTCTAATATCACACACAACCTACAAAGTATATGGAAATTGCAAAACAAGATATTCCTAATCAAATATTTAGTTACAATAATTTATAATAGATAATCATAGGACCATTTTAGATAGGAAAAATTATGCTCACAATTTTGATCACATGAATTGACAAAATGACTTTTCTAACATTTCTTTTAAGTTTTGCCAAAATGATTGCTACAAAGAAATTTATTATAACTAGAGTGTCTCTTTAAAGACATTAGAAACCCACTATCAAGATAATACAAAGGGGTCTAAGTGAAAACCACAATTTGAAATATATTCATCTCACATCTACAAAAGTTGAATGCAGCATGTAGTTGAAGCCAGCAATGTACATAAAATCACTTGTCCAGTTAATAACCAAATAAAAAACAACACTGTTGTGATTACAGTGGCTAGGTGAGCAAGCAAAAGTAAATGGATAGGAAAAGATGTACACAGAGCACATCAACTTATATATACTTGGTTTTAGTTAATTAGAAAACGAGACATTCGTAATATCTTTGGAAGTTGACCATTAAATCACACCAAAGACACAGATGGTCACTCATAAGATTGGACAGTAAATCAGGCCAGTGTGTGAATGGCTAAAGTGGTGACACATTTTCATGGGTGTAATTGCTCAGACGATGTTTTCAAAGGGTCAATTTAGTATCGATATGCAGATGCTGACAGTCCAGCCCACAGAGAGTTGTCATGTCACCCTGTGTTTGTGCTTTATGGACTTTTCCACAGTTCATTTCCTCCAGCGACTGCCAGTATGTTTGTTTCCCAATATCAAAGTCCCATTTTAGGGTATTATTTGATAATCAAATGAAATTAATCTCCCTTCATATAATTGCCTTTTGTGGTGGTTTGGTGAGTCAGTAATCACAGAAGTGATTCTGTCATTCATACTTACAATATATTTAATTCCTTGCAACCCAGTCATAATTATTTTAATGTTCATTATATTATTATATATTTTCTCATAAATTATTTACAGAGAGAAAAATGAACATTTTATCACATACAGGTACTATGTATTTTTTCTACTTTAGATTACTTGTTCTCTTTAAGATTAGACTAAATCTATTGTGTAAATAAATTTAATGAATATCTTGGCACAGTCTTATACGAAGATCCTCACAATAAGGACATTTCTTCTAAGTGACCCAGGAAATAAGGAACATGTTTTAGTATTATGAGGATAACACATGCTAACAACTCCTATCCCACCTTCACTCGCACCTACTCACACACTGTATGCATGGCTGGCTTGTTCAGACACTGTTCCTTCAGCCAATGAATCTCCTATGAAAGGGAGACGAAGTCTCCACTTTAATCACTCCTCTCCAAAGAGAAGGGGGAACTCCTAAACTTTTGTACACTAGTTGTACCACAAAAGAAAACAGGTAAGACATATCCCAAACTGTCAGAGTCAAGTGGTGGACATGAAGGAAATGTAGACAGTGGTAAGGAATGGCTATTCATTTCATTCAAATTTATAAAAAAAATGCATAAAAGTAGAATCAGCAACCCAAACATATTTCCAAACACGAGACATTAAACGTCACAGCTATCACAATACAGAAAGTGAACTCACAGAACTCAGCACCCAAGAGTACCAAGACCTGAGCGACTAATAAAGAAAGGAGTAAAGGATTTCCAAGCTTAGATCTCTGTATTATGAGAGGAATATAGAAGATAAAGGTTCTCACATAACCAAGAAGGGTCTAGGAGAAAATGTAAGGACATGCAAAGATGTGGTACTTACCAGCATGACGTGTCCTAAGAGAAGCAGTGCCTGAGACAAAAAATCTTGGCACCTACACGTTGCTGGCATCACAGGATGTGCAGATGTCACACAGCCAATACAGGATCACTGTCAACTCATCTAGAAAAGTAAAGAAGCAAATACATAAAGGAGTTGCACAAATACAAAAAAGACCCAAAGTGAAAAATTCCACCACATACATCCAACTTCACAAAAATGTAACTTGCTCTGCTTTGTAGGTAATTAAAACCAAAAATATAAAAGACTACACTAAAAAACATGTGGTCGAGGCATTAGGAAACCTGACATATGAGGAGACTCTTCATAAAGTGTCTGTTAGCTAGGAAAACAGGTAAACTGTGAGATGTGACACATTTGTGCTCAAGGACCCGTGTATACCAGCCTACGGGTGTATGAAGACAAGATGACAAAACCTGTTACATTAATTTCAGAGTATGGAGTCTTCATCAAAATACTAGTGAAAAAGTTACTTCCAAAAGAGACTATAAACACAGAGATTAGAGACTACACATATTCCGGTAGCTCCATTGTCTCACAAAATCAAAATGTGACTCCATCAATTATCCAAGTTAAAGTCCAGTGTTGTGGGCCATGGAGATCATGGAAGCTATGTAGACATTGCCCATCAATTCTTACACATGGATCCCAGCCAAGTCTTGGGGTCCAGAAACCTGCCATGTTGCAAAGACCCTTTCCTGTGACCAGGCCAAGACAAAAGCCACATGGCCGAGCCAAGGGCCAGGGTACCTGCGACCAGTGGGTCACCACGAGCTATCACTTGACCAAAAAGCTGCAGCTCAGTCCTCAGCACACTTTTATGGTAAAAGCACTGACCTTAGGGCTGTAGCCATTGAGGTGCTGGCTTCTTGGCTGGTGGCTGCATGTTCATGGTCAAGGGGAAGCTGTTGATCATGCCAACATCCCAGGATGGACAATTAGCTAGAAATCAATCCACTGAGAACAAGGATAATAGATATGCTTCGTTTTGCTCAGCTTTTACAACAAATGCATACTAGAGGAGTCATAATGGATCTGAGCATTTTTGGGGGGATTGCAGACTAAGAAATCCAGGCAGGCTCAGCAGACAAGCCAAGGACCCCAAAAGTCTACAGTAAGCCACAGGATAAGGAGCCCATCACCTGAGCCAGAGTCAAGACAATTCACAGTAAAAATCAACAACTTCATGGCATTGGGGAAGAGGGAGATGAGCTGCTTGAAAGCCAGATGTATGAGCTGACAGGCCAAATACAACACATTTGGGGGATGGGAGCTTACAGCACGGTGTACCAGGAACACCAGGAGCACTGCACACTGCTGATTCAAGCAGAGCAGATTCACAGGCACCTTCAGTCATCCACGGGAGCACAGTCTTCCACCCTCTGCACAGTGGGCCATTAACTCTCCCTAACAATGGCATCTGAGAGGTATTGAGAGATCACACACAAGCTTCAGAAAGAGATTCAGGATTTATGGACCATAAGCTGTGCAAAAGCTTGTCAAAGGTACTTGACATCTTTACCATCACTCAAATCCATCCCTACAATTATAGTAAAGGTGAGACTTACTATGTGCAAGGGTCAGGAATATGGAGCCCCAACAATTAAATTTTCAGTCAGCAAAGGACCAATAATGCATTTAAGTGGTGGCCACAACCTCCCATGAGAAAGTGCTACTATACAGAGCATCCTTTCAAATGCAGGACTTGGGCTGCAAGATGAAGTATGTGGTTGATGGGAAGCTTTCCCTCTCGCTACTACACCAAATCAAACACTGATCCAATGAGAATGACAGTAGGGGTTCTCACTCATTTTGTTCAGCTTTTCCAAGGAATGCATTTGAGGGGTGTCATCGTCTATCTGAGCACATTTGAGGTCACTTTTAGAATTCGAGTTAGGTACACCAGTAGACCATGACAGCACCCTAAAGCCTTCATCAGCTGCCTAGGCAGGGAAAGTAAATGAATTCCGGGAGAAAATCTCCAAGTAACACTGGGGAATGATTAGACAAGCCTTCTCCAAGGCAGTTCTGGGAACCCACTCGGACACTGCACCCAGGAGGACCGTAGCTTACCACATGTTGGCAGGGATGAATGCACACCCAGCAACACGCAGTGAGGATTCAGCAGCCTCTCCAGGCTTCAGTAACACTATGCTTTTCCTCCCTCTGTGCTCGGACAGCCATCCTCCACCATCTGCACCTGAGAAGTGATGAGAGATCAGAAAGATATCAGAAAGATAACCAGGACCATAATGGGCACCAAAGGTCACCCTGGGGCCAAATGCCCTATCCTATCCCTCAACGCTGTCCCTGAGAGATGATAGAAGTGGTGTGGGATAGTGCCTCCCAAGGCCAGGACTGTGGAGACTAAATACCGGGCCACCACAGAGCAGCCACTCAACCAAAGAAGCGCTGCTACACAGGCATATGCAGGGGCAGGAATATGGAGACCAAACGTTACACCCTCAGTCAGCAAAGGATTTATGGCTGCACTCTCAAAGTTGCTGCAGGAGCAAATCTTTCCCTATAATCTATGTCCTAGGTCAAATACTGTGCTGGACCTCAGATCCGATGAGAACGACGGTAGGGGTTCTCACTCATTTTGTTCAGCTTTTCCAAGGAATGCATTTGAGGGGTGTCAT